TTCTCCATCTAGAGTTAAGGAGCCCTGGATTGCTAGCCACAAGGTCAGCAGTTTGAATCTACCAGTTGCTCCCTGGTAGAAAGATAAGGCTTTCTGCTCCCGTAAAGACTTCCGACCTTGGAAACCCTATTTGGGTCACGAAGAGTCGAAACCCATGTGACAGCACACAACCGCCACCACCTTTCAGAGTCATTTTAACTTGGCATGAGGACTTCTTAAATTCAAGGAATACTCAATTCAGTGCTATCCAACAGAAGTTCTGCAATGGAAGTGGCCTATATTTATGCTAATACAGCAGCCTTTAGCTTCATGTGGCTATGGTGCATTTGAAATGTGCCTGGTATGATTAAGGGACTAAATTCTTATTTCAGTGTTAATTATTTGAAATGGGCACAGCCATATATAGCTAGCTAATGATTATAGTATAGAACAGCCCTTTCCTTACATGGTAAATTGGGGTAGCATAGAGAAAGATGAGGCTTTCTACTCCCATAAAGATTTACACCCTCGGAAACCCTGTACAGGGTCGCTATGGGTCGGAACCGACTCGATGGCACATAACAACAACAACAACAAGTGGTTATGAATCGGACTGCGAACCACAAGGTCAGCAGTTCGAAAGTACCAGCTGCTCCGTGGGAGAAAGATGAAGCTTTCTGCTCCCGTAAAGATTTAAACCTCGGAAACCCTGTTCAGAGTGGCTATGGGTCAGAACCAACTCGACGGCACTTAACAACTAGTAGATTCAGTTGGCCACTGTTTCTTTATTATTAGATGAGGTTTTAAGTGGTTACGAATCGGACTGCAAACCGTAAGGTCAGAAGTTTGAAACTACCAGCTGCTCTGCGGGAGCATGATGAGACCTTCTGCTCCCATAAAGATTTATAGCCTCGGAAACCCTGTACAGGGTCACTATGAGTCGGAACCGACTCCAAGGCACACAGCCACCACCACCATGCACTAATACTAAAGCTTTGGGTATTCTTATTCTTTAAAAAGCCTATGTTGTCAATTTGGAGTTCTGGTGTAGTGCTGTTGGATAAGCAGTAAACTGCTAACCAAAAGATTGGCAGTTCAAACCCACCAGCCACTCCTTCACTATGAGTCAGAACTGACTTGGCAGCACTTCACAACAACAGCAGCAACATATTGTCACTTTGGGGACTAAGGTGTGCCTGAGTCAAGCTACAGTAGTTTCAATCACCTTATTGTTGTTGTTGTTGTTAAGTACTGTTGAGTCAATTCCGACCCACAGCGACCCTGTATAGGGTTTCCAAGGAGTGGCTGGTGAGCTTGAACCACCGACCTTGCAGTTCAAACGACTTTGCATTCTGATGCATTAACCCACAGCGCCACACCAGGACTCCTTACTGTATATATGTGAAAATTAGACAATGAATAGAGAAGACCATAGAAGAGTCAATGCATTGAATTATTATATTGGTGAATAACAGTGAAAGTATATGGACTGAAGTCCCCCCCCAATCCAAAAAAAAAAAAAAAAAGCTAAAGAGGATAGAGAGAAACACTGTTAACTGATGATATATGGAGGGGATAATAATCAATGTAATGAAACAAGCTATATGAATGGTTGAATGTGAAGCTGATGATGTGCCCTGTAAACTTTCACTCAATGCAAAATAAACACATTTAATTAAAAATAAATAAATAAAGAGAAAGTATATGGACTGACAGAAGAGCAAACAATTCTGTCTGGAAGAAGTACAGCTGGAATGCTCCTTAGAAGTGAAGATGGTGAGGCTTCATTACTCGTACCTTGGACATTTTGTCAGGAAAGGCCAGTCTCCCTGAAGAAGGACATCATGCTTAGTACAGGGAGGGTCAGCAAAAAAGAGGAAGACCTTCTAAGAGATCAATTGACAGAGTGGCAGCAACAGTGGGCTCAAACATAACAACAATTGTGAGGATGGTGCACAAATGGGCAGTGTTTCCTTCTGTTGTGCACAGGGTGGGTATCTGTCAGAATCCGCTGGGTGGCAGGGGGTTTTTTGTTTGCTTTTTCTATTCTCAAAAGATCCCTAGGTGGTATAAACAGTTTGCACTGGACTACTAACCAAAAGAGGTGGTTCAGACCCACCCAGCAGTGTAGCTCAAGTTGGGTCTACCGATCTGCTTCCATAAAAATTATCGTCAAAAACCAAAAATGGAAAGAAACCTTAAGGAGCAGTTCTACTTTGTAACACACGGAGTCTCCATTAATCAGAATTGACTCAGTAGCAATGAGTTTATATTATCAAAAGAAAAATGTAGGGATGTTTATTTCTTACTGTCATAGCAACAGGGAGTGGACCATTCCTGTTTCTATCATATTTGTGCTTAGACACAAAGGGAAAAACATTATAAAATAGGTGTAGTGTTCAGACTCCTTTGCTCGTGCTCTGCTAGGCTTTCTATTTGCAGCCACCTTGCCTTCATCTCTCTTTGCAGGGCATTCTCTGAAGTCCTCTCTGGATGGTGTGTGCCTCTGACACACCAAACTCAGAAGGTAGATTTTCTGTTTCACAGTCTTGTTTTACTCACAGTTTTATGAGCAAGGGGGCAGAGTTTGCTTTCTCTAGATCAGCAGGAGCTTGCTCTTGCTCTTCCTTTTAATTTCTTTAATGTGAGGATCCCCACACTCGCTCTTTGAAATGCCATTTTGTAAACTGTTATTTCCTCTAAGCCTGCTATGCTGTTTTTCCATCTGTGTTGAAGTCTCTTCCCAGAGGGGCCTTTCTTTCCCAACTTAGTCATGTTAGTGGGGAGACCCAGATCCACATAGCTGGGCCCTCTGACTCATCCCGGGAGGCTGGGTTGCTCCAGGGAATCCCACTCACAGCTCAACAGAAGAGGGAGGAACCAATGAAGTGAGGCCTTTCTGAAATCTGCCTATTTTCCTGGCAACTCTCCTTCTTGTCCAGAGCTAACTGAGGAGGGAAAAGAGCAAAGCTGCCCTTCTCCCTTTGAAATAATGTTTTCAGTAAATAGTTTTTGGCAATTCTAATTTCTAGTTTATAAGGTACTTTTGTCATTGTTGCCTGATGCTGCTTTTAAATGTTCCATAATCAAGCTAGTAGAAAAACCTGTGAATGCTCTGATTGTCCTTTTCCTCCACCAGTAAGTCATGAGAGTCAATTCTGACAGTTGCATTTTCCTTCCAGTCACTGTTCCCCCTTTAGAAATATATTATTCATGAATGTGAGCAGGCTCTGAACTCTAGCTCCTCCCCTCCAAAGATAGGAGGAGGGGGTGGATGGATGGAATTGCTCCATTTCTGACCCCTTTGGCTGCAGGACTATCTTCACACTTGAACTTGGAGGCCAGGCTTTTTTTTGGCCCTTGCTGTCCTTCAAAGGAAGTCCTCTGCCAAAGATGGCTCAGGCCCATGATTTCTCAATCCAGATGGGTTCAGACAATAAATTCCTCTAATAGATTTGCTAAAAAGGGTCAAAGTTGAATAATATAATAATAACCCAAAATCTGACTACTGAGCCAGCTATACGTTTGCCAGTTACTCATTCAATTAATCTATTTTTAGTCTTAGTAAGTACATCCTGAATCAGTACAAGAAGCAACCCCAAGTCAGTACCCTATCAGCTCGGGTCAGGCTGATGGAGGCAGTCACCAAAGTAGAGGCGTCGATCTGAGAGGCCACATTATTCCAGTTTTTGTAAAGTTGCTTAGCTGTGCAGTTGAAATACCCTCCCCACAATTCTAATTATGTATAATATATTATATGGAGTCCTGGTGTGGCGCTGTGGATTAATGACCCAGACTGCAAAGCTGTTTGAACTGCAAGGTCGGTGGTTCAAATTCACTAGCTGCTCCTTGGAAACTATGGGTTGGAACCGACTCGACGGCACTTAACAACAACAACATAACATTATATAGCAATATGTATGTTATGATTATATTTGTATAATTTTTGTTGTTAAGTGCCCTGGAGTAGATTCTGACTCATAGCGAACCTGTATAGGATTTCCAAGGAGCAGTTGGTGAGTTTGAACTGCCAACTGTGAGGCTAGCAATCAGTGCTTATCCTATAGCATCACACCAGTACTCATATATGTATAGTATAGGTAGACATATATGTGTACATTATGATTATATATGACATATGTATGTGCATATGTGTGTGTGTGTGTGTGTGTGTGCATATTTTACTCTTTAGTTCTAAATTTCCCTCTACTTCATTATTTGGAAGAAAATCCCTTCAGGCTATCTTAATTTAGCCCATTCTCTATTTTGGCTCTTACCCTCAATTCCTCGTTCAATGGGACAACACACTTCACTAGATTTCACTAGACTTTGAGAGGGTCTCCTTCAGTGAGACCATCTTCAGATAGGACCCCAGGCCCATAATGAAAAAAGAGGCTTTTTCTCATCCAGGAAGTCCCAGGAGGGGACAAACTGACCTGTGCTTCCTGCTTCTCTAACAGCCAACTAACTCTAGCTGCTTGTCCCCCAGCCTCCAGCAGCCTAGTGTTCTTCCTTGATACCCCGTGGACGCCCCCACCCCATGCCTCCCCACCTGTTAGCAACCCTATGAAACCCTTGTAACCCAGATAGCTAGCGGGGCTCAGTCTCTGGATGCGAAATAAACCCTTCCTTTCCATGAGAATCTACGTGGTGTTTAGCAACTCCTTTAGGCGGTTGCGGTAACAATCTTATTCCCACAGAATGTGAGCCTGGCTGTGGCACAGGTCAGGAGGCACACTGACCAGCAGAGGGGTGTAGTTATATGGACGACAAAACTCAAGTTAACTGAATTCCAGCTGAACTAAGCACTAAGCACGGGAGAGGAGGTGTGTGTGTGTGTGTGTGTGTGTGACATTTCGACATTTCTGAAGACGGCAGGAGCGCCTACACATGCAGCCCAGAAAACGGCGTGGGTGGCAAAACTAGAGAAAGACGAACAAGCTGTTTGCCAGGGGAGGGCTATCCTGACCCTGATGGCGGCCCCTGGGGACGTTCCCTCCCCTCTGGCCGCCTCTGCTTACCTTGACCACGTCGTCGTTGAGATGCTTGGGATCGCGGTTGACCAGGTCGATCTCCTTGGTGTGCGCGTCATACAGTTGTTTCTCGTTCATCTCTTCTGCCATGGCCTTGTTGTTGGGCTTGTAGATGTTACCGTGTTCCCGGATAGGAAGGGTATAGAGATGTCCCTGAGGAGGACGAACAGCCAGAAGGGAGAAGGTAGCACCGCCGGTGGCAAGAGAAATTTAAAAAAAGAAAAACAAGCGATCAAAAGTCAGCCTGGCGACGCGGTAAATATCGAGACTGGAAATTGAACTAACCGCGTCGGCAGCTGCGGCTCAGCGCACAGTCAATTCCTCCGCGCCGCAAGCTTTTAAGAGGATCCAGGCAAGGACACCACACCCCTCGGTACCAGGCAGGGAGCTCTTGTCTCCCCCGCCCGCCACCAGGGGTCAGGGCGAGCCCCGCCGCCGGGTTCACCCTGGCCCCAGCCCCGCTTGCGGTGCCTAGCTGGGACCCCAGCCGGGAGTGGGGCCCCATACCTCTGCCTTCTCCCTTTTTTCTCCGTCATGTCACCCTCACTTCGAGTGCTTCACCTGCTCCAGTTCCCAGGCCCAGTTGCCACTCCATTTCTCCCCATAACCCCTTCCAGCTTCATCCATACGGTCCATCCTGAAGCCCCTACCCAACCAAGGAGTCTCCCCATTTTCTCTGCCTCCAGAGCGCTCACACCGGCCAGCGTGCCCTCTCCCCCTCTGTTGTTTGTTGCCTTCTCTCCCCTAGTTCTCCTCCCTCCCCACCCCCCGAAGTGGCTATAGTCCCGCATCCCCATGTCTCTAGGCAGAGCCACGTGCAGAAGCCCCAGCGATTCCCCACCCGAGCTACACCTCACCTGCACTCCTCCCTGGACCCACCCTCAAGTCGCTTGTAGACTGCGGGCGGGTGACTAAATCGTGGCTACGTTTGGGAAAGCAAGTCCTCCACACCTGGGGAGGGTCCCGAACCTAAAGAGGCGGTTGGTTGCAAGTGGCGGTGATAGTGGCGGGGACCCAGTCCACCCCTCTCCAAACACCTCAGCCAGGCGCCGAGATGCAGGAAGAGTTCTTGAAATGACCCAAGAGCTTTTGGAAAGTGCAAACACCCCGCGCAGTTCAGATGCCTGGCTGGGATTCTTGACGACCCCTCCCCCCTTGCGCTTTAGGCCCTCCGCTTCGCAGCAGGTAGGGGCGAGGGCTGGGTGGGGGGTCCCGCGGGAAGAGAGAGCCCCAAACTCATACACAAAATGCGTTTTCGGGCCGTTGGACCTAACCTCAGGACCCTGACTCTCTTTTCCGTGTCCCCCTGACTTAGAGCGCCCTCTGATTTCCACCTCCCGCTCTCTAAAACATTCCTGGCGCCTCTTCACCTCCCCGCCCAGGTCCATTCCTTAGCAATGCCAAGGTGCGAGAAGTGCCCCAAAGTCGAGAGAGGGCTGGGGCTGGAAAAGCAGCCGGAATATGTGGAGTGGGAGATCGCAGGCGTAGGGACTCCACGCGTGCCGCGCGCCGGGGACCACAGCCTACCTCAGAGTCTACGTATTTGCCCCCAGACATGCTGGCCGGTGCCTGGATGAAGGCTCTCAGGAGGCTTCCCCGGGCTGTGATTTAAGGGAACTGAGGGAGGAAGATCTTGTATTGTATAGGGGAAAAAAGGCTCTGACGGATGGGGGGTGGGGGCGGCGGTGGCTGGGATCGCGCCTCCTGGCGGTGCGCCAGGGGTTTGTTCTGCTCGCGGTTGGCCAGGACGTGCGCTGCGCCGGGTCTAGGCACATCCCCAAGGTTAGGGCCACAGAGGGCGGGGAGGGCCCCTAGGGAGCTGAGAGCTAGTGGGAAAGCGTTGCGTCGGCGCTGGGCTGCTCCGGCAGATGTTTTAAACCTGGGGCAACATTTTCCCAGCTAGGAGAGGCATTCTGAGGAAAGCGAATGCTTTCACAGTGTGTCATCCCAGCGAGGGTGGGGGTGCAGGACGCCAACGGGCCTGCAGAGATGCCCAGTATGGGCATCCGAGGCATCCGAAGGAATTCTGCCCTGTTCTAAGCCATTTCTTACCATCACCTTTTCACAGAGGAATGGGTGACGAATAAATTTAAGGAATCTCTAGGTCCATTTCACATTCAAACTCAAGTAAGGAATCTGAGGGTGCGGATTGTGTGTATTTTTGGTGACACTCGTTTACATCTAATCGGTGTGGATTGAAACATGGATAAACCGACGCGCACAATTTAAAGACTCCGAACCACTTCTGAAATGTTTCCCCAGTACTTTGAAATAAATGCAAATGTTGAACGTTTCTCGAATTTTACTAAGTGATCTTTTCTGAAACAAAGAGAGTTCATGCCAACACGTTATAGACCATATTTACCAAATAAATAAAATGTTTAGTAGTCGAAAATGTTTAATTAAAGCTTGGTATTTATTACCATAGAGAGATTTTTAAAAACATGTTTGTCTGCGAGGGGAAACTTGGCTACCCTAGTAATTGACTAGGACATTAAAAAACAACAACAACAACAAAAACCTGCCAGCAATTAAAAATACTTTATCTGTCTCCAAATTGGTGCTTTTTTCTTTACTTTATTATTATAAGCAGCAAAAGATTAATTAAACAACTTGATCATCTTACTTTTGATCAACATACTAAGACAGGAAATTTACTATTCCTAAATGGAAAGAACTTTTCCCTGGGATGTTTCATATATAATAAAAACTTAAATAAACACATGTATGTCAGTTATTACTTGAAGTAAACAACAACAAAAACTGGGAATCTACTTGAAAGGGCACAGATTAATTAAAATACTGGCAATCTAGAAAGGAGAATAAGTTATTGTTAAGTGCTGTGGAGCCTGTTTGACATATAGTGACCCTGGGCAGAGTTCCAAAGGAACAGCTTATGGGTTTGAATATGTTGTCATTAAGTGCTATGGAGTCCATTCTGACTCATAAAGACCCTGCACAGGGGTTCCAAGAAGGAGCTGGTGAGTGTGAACTGCCTGCCTTGCTGTCAAATGCTTTATTCCACAGTGCCACACTAGGACTCAGGGTTGTTGTTGTTAAGTGCTGTCGAGTCGGTTCCGACCCAAGCAACCTTGCATAGTGTTTCTGAGGAGCATCTAGTGAGCTTGAACCACCAACCTTGCAGTTCAAGTGGCTTTGCAGTCTGGTGCATTAACCCACAGTGCCACACCAGGACTCTGGGTTTAAATATGTTGTTGTTGTTAAGTGCCCTTGAGTCGTTTCCGACCCATAGCGACCTGTGTAGGGTTTCCAAGGAGCGACTGGTGAGCTTGAACCGCCGACCTTGCAGTTCAAATGGCTTTGCAGTCTAGAGCATTAATCCACAGCGCCAGGGTTTAAATATAGAAGGGAGCAGAAGAAGGAAAAGGGGAGACAAAGTATAAAATCATACTAGCATAGATTATCCAGATGGAGAGAAAAATATATAAGCATATTAGGAGGAAACCATGAATTGATGGTAGGGAAAATGTAATATAAAGTTTGACAAAAAGATCCATTTCAACCAGGATTGCCAGGGAAAGTGTCCCAAATATTGGTCTGACTTTCAGTATGCCAGCTATTCTTCCTGGAAGATGAAATGTCTTTCAAAAGTTGCATTTTCTTCACTTACTTTATAAATTCTTTGAACAAATCAGGTGTTAACAAACATGTGTTAGAAAAGGATGGTGCCAGGTTGAATATGCTGTGTAGTTGTGCCTACTCTACCTCTGATGATTGCTAAAACATTACTGTTGGTTTAACTCTTCCTTCATAACTGTTTGCTACAAAACAGTTGGGCTCCTGGTCTATGAAAAAATGTCCAAAGCATTTCCCATCTATTGTTATTCAATTTTCAGCTGTGATGAGTAATCTTGACAGTGGAAAAAAAAATCAACAGGAACATGGAGAGGGCTTGTCCTGCATTCCAGCAAGGAAAGGACATTGTGGGGAGGTCTGTGAGTGAATTCTTAACCAGTACTCCACTGAGGGAAAGCCAACCCTGCTGGGGAAGTCCATGCAGAAGTCGAATAAACAGCAGTAATCTTGAAGATCAGTGAAGCCTTGTCAATGCCAAGAGGAATTCCTAATGAGAGGAAAAACCACAAACTCTTTAATAACCTGCCTCAACAAGAAGCTGGCACCAAAAGAGAAGCAGATCCTATTCCGAAAGTTACAATAGCAAACTTTGAAGAAATTGCTCCACCTTTATGAGAAAGAAAAGATGAAGAAGAACATTGTTAGCATAGCAATACCACTCGAAATGAATAGATGTAAAAAATTATAATGTTGTTTGTTTGATACTCACCTAGAGAACTGTAGGCTTGGAGGCAGGTTAATAGCTTTCTCTAAATCATTTACTAAACATTGGTTAGATGGCAAGTCATTCCTCACTGTATTTTTAAAGAAGCATTAAAGATCGGCTCACACGTATCATAGTTTACAAGAAAAATATAAGGAACACACGTCAGCAGGTCGTACCACCTAGTGTTGAGTGTCATTGAGTCAGTTCCTATTCATAACCGCCCTGTATAGGGTTTCTGAGGCTGTAAATCTTTGCAGGAGCAGAATGCCTCAGCTTTCTCCCATAGTTGAACCACCTGAGACGTGAGGAAAATAGTGTTTAAATATGTTAAAATGGATTATTCTTTAGGTTTATCGGGTAATAAACATTTTAAATTTGATTAATGACTTTGGCAGCAGTTAGCAACTTATGGAACATATTTGACTATATTTAAGTAATACAGTGCAGCCCTTGTAGCAGAGTGGATTGTTAGCTGGGCTGCTAACCAAAAGGTCCGTAGTTCAAATCTACCAGTCGCTCCATGGAAAAAAGATAAGGCTTTCTGTCTCCGTAAAGATTTGCGTCCTTGGCAAGCTTATACTCTGAGTTGGGGTGGTCCCCACCACTACTATTACTGTGAGTGGGAACCAATTTGATGGCACATAACCACTACCACCAAATACTATAGTAGTATAAGTTTACCATATTTACGTAGTATATAAGTTTACCATATTTAACCATTGGCACAATGATTAAAGCACTCTCTGCTGCTAACTAAAGGTCAGCAGTTCGAACCCACTAGCCCCTCCAAGGAAGAAAGATAAAGCAGGCTGCTTCCTAAAAGATTTGCAGTCTTGGAAACCCTATGAGGTAGTTGATTCTCATGAGTCAGAATCAACTGGAAGGCTGTGGATTTTATATTTAAGTAATACTGTAGTATAAATTTGACTATATTTAAATAGTATAGTCAGGGCCCACTTAGGGCAAAATTCAAAAGTGAAGTTGTTTGTTTTTTTTTGTTCTTTCATCTCCTTCTCTGTGTCCACCCTTTTCCCCTGGCACGACGTCTTCTTTCCATTATTAACACCTGGTGATAACTTTTTTCTTATTTTCAACTAAGCCAACCCAAAGCCGTTCAGATGCCTCCTACTCATGGTGACTGTGTGTAGCAGGGTAGAATTGTGCTCTGTAGAGTTATCAATGACTGAGTTTTTGAAAGTAGACCACTAGGCCTTTATTCCAATGCACTTCTGGGTGGACTCAACCCTCTAAGCTTTGGGGAGGCAGCTGAGTACGATTTCCATTTGCACCATCAGGGACTCCTACTTTCATCTGTTGAGTTAAATAATGTGCTATTAAGTAGATTCCAACCATATGTAACAGCGGAGCCTGCTCTGCAGATTTTCCAAGACTCATCTTTACAGGGGCAGATCACCAGCTTTCTTTTTCACTACTTTCATCTCACTTCACCCAATTCCCACTCTAGGATGAGGTGATAAGGCGTCCAACACTTGACCATTTACAATACTTCCCAACATCCAGAAGTCTGAGACTTCCCAAATGTGTCATTGTCAATTAGTCCAGATGAAGGGATTATAACCCGGGTTATAATAGGGATTATCATCTGGGGTGATAAAAACAAAACAAAACAAAAATAAAACATTAAATAACTAGTATACCTTCCTAGTTTGGTGTTGTAGATTAACACTGGACTTAACTGCAAGGTTGGTGGTTCAAACCCACCAGCCGCTCCTCACAAACTCTACACAGGGTGGCTATGGGTTGGAATCGATTCTATGGCACTTAACTACAGCAATGACAAATGGCATAGCCACTGGTTAGTCATTCCAGACTTGGGTCCAAGCACTGCTGCTGTGCTGTGTCATTGTGTGGACCAGTCATTGCTTTTGTTAAGTGCTGTTGAGCCAGTTCCAACTCACAGTGACCCCATACAGGGATTCTGAGGAGCAGTTGTTGAGTTTGAACCACTGACTTTGTGGTTCAACCAGATCTTGTACCACACCAGGACTCCATTAGCCCTCCCTTTAGTTGTTGGATCATGGGATAAGGGTGTGGGCTCAGGAGGAGGGCTAGAGGGGAGGGGGTGCATTTTGGAGCTATGACTGTTTACCTGGAGGCACATCAGTCAGTATTTTTAGAACCTGAATATTTACTCTGTCCGTCACCCTTACTACCTCACACACCTTCCCATAATCTTAACCTTGAATTTCAGTGAAGCCTTCCTACCATACCTGCCCATTTTACAGTGGAAAACACTGGGTTTCTAGCAAAAGGATTGCCACACACTT